GTCACTGTCCAGCTCTCTGACGCATAACAAGTGATTGCAAAGACCATGGCCTGTACCAGACGCACCTTAGTCTCCAAAGACACACCATTGCTCTTCAGTACGTTAGAGAGGTCCCCAACAGCAGACTTTCCCATCGCAATACGTTTTTTTATTTCCTGGCTGCTGGTGCCAAGAGTGTTGATTGTGGAGCATACTGCATGAATATTTTTTTAAAAAGAAAGTGAACTGGGGAGAGGAAAGGAGGAAGAGGGAGGAAAATATGTAACTATGAATGAATGAAAATCCAACTTTTCTGTAAACTTTCATTAAAATCACAACTAAATAAATGAAAGAAAATAAAAAGATCAAAATTTACAAAGCGAGCATACTGTGGTACAATGAATTCATGTGGCCCTTCCATTCATAGTCTATTATTTTATGATGAAGTATTTATTGTATTAAAAAGATGGGATTAGGGCTGGATACAAGTCACACCGCACTAAAGGCCCAAATAAGCTCATGGGTGCTCAGTGTTCTTGAAATGCTTACTCTCCTGGACACAGTATGCAGCTGCACGATCACTGATAATGTAGGCTGCACAACACTGGCCTACATCACCCACAGTCACAAGAGCTACTTTCCTGAAGAGTTTTGCGTTTCTGAGAGATGTTCCAGTGAACCATAGCGTTCAACAGTGAATTTTGTACCACTTCCTATCACTTTATCTGAGAAATAGGAGTTTGTTAAAAATATGACACAGAAAATAACTAAAGCAGTACCTGCCAGCCTGTACTTTTCATTCGTATCTCATCTTTGAGTTTTTGGATCTCCTCCTCCAGCTCCATATTTTTCTTCACAATATTATCAATTAAACTCTAAAAAAAAAAGTGGTAGCAAAAATATTAAATCACTCTTGCAATCATTTCTCTAAATGAATTTATTAAAGAATCTAAATGTCTCTCAACCTGAATAAAGAAAGGCAGTAGATTTTTTTCACAGAACAAAAATCACATAAATAATATACTTCTTGAACAGCTGACACCATCGCTTGATTCTTGTTTCATAGTCAAACATTAGTATCTCTATGACAGAAATAAGGAATTGGCCACTAGTACGAAACCAAAGGCATTTTTATAATGGAGCAAGAATTAAGAACCAGAATTTCTCCATCTTAGCCCAGAACTCTATCAATTCTCCGATTCCTAAAGTGACTTTTAAGGCTTACTGTAAATGTGGATATATATTATTGTGAGGCAATTAAAAAACTGTCTGTGATTCCTTCATTCAGCTTCCCTGACACACCAGACATCTGGCTTCAGGTAAACAGTTTAAGGCACAAGGACCTCCATCTTCTCCTGAGGTCTGACTTAAAATGTAAGCTCAATGTCGTTGAGTCAGAACCAACCCATACCTTACTCTTTACTAAATTTTTAGAGTCTATAAATAAGTTGGAAGGAGGCTGCCATCTTTCTCTGGTGGATTTTGGGTTAGAAGCACATCCCTTTAGGGACTATACCACCAGAACTCCCTTGAGATCTCACCAGATAAAGGTGCTACATAAACTTTTCATTTCTAGGTCTGAATCAAGAAATGAAAGATGATGACAGCAGCTGCTTTTTTAAGGACTGTAAGAGAAAGTACAGAAAGAGAATTCTTTGCAGGCTTGATTGAAAGAAGTGAAAAGGTTTGGAAAATCCCAAATTCAAGAAAGTGCTTGACGAAGATACATTAAAAAAAATAAGAAATAAAACTAAGAAATATGATTTGTTTTAATAACATTTAGTAATTTTTCTTTTTACCTGACTTTCTTCTTTGTCCATTAATTCTTCACATAGCTCCAACTCAGACTTTTTCTCATCTTTATCAGCTGCCATGATTCCTAGTTACTATTGGGGGGAAAAAAACCAACCCAAAACAAAAACGCAACATCTTTTCACATGGACATATACACACATTCCAAAAAGAATGAAATAATTTTAACTCTTCCATAAAAGAAAAACAAACCCCTATCTTGGCTCTGTATTATCTTTTTTCTTATCATGAACATCTTATCCAGGTAACATATCTGAACAAAGTGTATAATCCAAACAACTTTTCACACTTACAAACACATAAAAAGAATTTTAAAAGTCTTTTGTTTTCAATATAAGATAAATAAATAATGGGTATTAACATTTCTTTCTAGTTCACATGCCACTTATCATATATTATCTATTTGACAAGATCACTATTTTGGGGTCTGTGTGTGGTTCAAATGGTTAACAATAGACTACTTAGAAGAGATTGGCGATTTTAATTCAAGAAAAGAAAAACCTTAGCCACTGGCAACATCATATCATAACAGATGGAGCAAAGACTGAAACTGTCAAAGACTTCCTCTTACTTGAATCCACAATCAATAAACTTGGCACTAGCATTCAGGAGATCAGGACATGTAACACACTGGGAAAGTCTGTATCAGGGACCTCTCCAAATTACTGAGAAGCAATGATGTCAATCTGAAGATTAAGGTACACCTGACTCAGGCCACAATCAGATACTATGCATCTGAGGCAATGAATAAGGATGAGAGAAGAATAATTGATGTCTTTGAATTTCGGTGTTGGAGAAGAGTACTGAATATCCTCTGGACTGCCAAAAGAACAAGCAGATATGTCTTGGAGAAGGTGCAGCCAGAGTGCGCCTTGGAAGCAGAAACAATAAAGTTTTATCTCATACTTAGGGCCTGTTGCTAAGAGAGGCTATTCATTAGAGAGGGACATTATGCTTGGAAAGATGAAGGGATGGAAAAGAAGAGAAAGGCTCTCGAACAAGTGGACTCATACAGTGACTGCAGCAATGGGCTCTAGTGTGTCAGATGGTGAGGATGGCACAGGACAGGACACGGTTCAGGGTTCATGGGGTCACTATGAGTGATACTCGACTCTATGGCACCTAACAACAACAAAGCACCTTGGAAAAGCAGCCCAATGATGTACTTCTGAAGACTCAGCCACTGAGAACTCTATGGAAGACAGCTCTACTCTGACACCCATAAATTGTCATGAATTAAGAGTTGACTTATAGGCAACTGTTAGTTGGTGTTTTAATTTTGTTCTTCTAACCCTGGATCCACAAGGAGCAGTCAAGAAACCAAAAGATATGTGGTATTGGGGAAATCTACTGCCAAGGACCTCTTTAAATTTACTACCAGCTCCAAGGGAGAAAGAAGGGAGAAAGATGGGAAATCTCTTCCCAAACAATTTACAGCCTCTGAAAACCCAGTTATGACTTGACAGCAATTAAGTGAGTGACTGAGTATTGCATGTAGAACCATGTACTCCTCAGATACACAAAGGGTGTAGCCCTCTAAAATATTCTTCCTTTAAACCTAGAGTTTCCACAAATTTTTCTTCTGCTTGAATACATAAATGGGATGGGACAAAGTATATCCTTGCTTCTAAAAATCTCTCATTGAAACTTGGCATCCTTCTCATTTATATATGGAAGTAACAGTCCACAAAAGTATTGGTAACACCTGTGAAAAAGTTATCAGGAGAAAGCAAAAATCTTCCAAAGGAATATTAAAATTGCTACAGAGTCCTTGAAATATCTCACTTGCTGAAACTAAGGAAGACCTGATGTGCTTGTTGCAGAAGGTCAAGGACTATGGTCTTCAATATAGACTGAAGCTCAACATCAGGAAGACAAAGATTTGTACCACTGTGCCAACTGACAGACGGAGAAGAGATTGAGGTTGTTAACAATTACAGCTTACTCAGCTCCACATCAAGACTCTTGGCCCCAGAAGTTAGAAAATCATAAGATAAAATGCATTGAGAAAATCTCCTGTCAGGGACCTCTCCAGAGTACTGAAAAGCAAAGATGTAAAATCTAGAGACCGAGGTGTGCCTAATCATGGTCTTTGCAACTACTCGCTATGCATCAGAGAGCTAGACAATGACTAAGGGTGACAGAAGAAGAATTGATGCCTTTAGATTGTGGTTCTGGAGAAGAGTCTTGAACATACCAGGTACCACCAAGAAAACAGGTAAGTCTGTCTTGAAGATGGTGAAACCAAATTTCTCCTTGGAGGCTAGGATTTTGAAGCTCAGTCTCACATACTTTGGGCATGTGGCCAGGAGAGTCCAGACCCTGGAAAAGGACATCATGCTCAAAATGGTGGAAGGACAGCACAGGAGAGGAAGATCCCAGATGAGTTGGATTGATACAGTAACTGGGGCAATGGGGGTTGGTATACTGGAATCAGTGAATCAGGACAGGGCAGGGTTCATAGCTTCTGTAAATAAGAGTCACTATGCATCACAGGCAACTCAACAGCACATAACAACAACAACAACAACCTTGCTTTAAAATTATAGTTATTAAACTCAGATGGCATAATATACTAATATATATTGTTGTTGTTTTTAAGTACCGTTGAGTCATAGACGACTCATAGCAACCCTATGAACAAAAGAACTAAACACTTGTATAACTTTCATCATTTCTCCACATTCATAGAGTTTCTGGAGGCAAGCTATTTCAGAAGTGGATGCCACTCCTGCTTCCAAACTTGTTTTAATCAGGGAGCTCCACCAAACACTGTCCACCCTGGGTAACCACTATCGCATATGACACATCAGTATCACAGTATTTAGCATGCACAAGTTACCTCTACACAACAAATGGACAAACCAGTGCTATACCACTTAGAATGTTTGACCAAAAACAATTAAAACCAGGCCTGAGTGCCGCAGATTAAAATCACACACCTTTGACTTGGTAGCAAAACTTTCTATCCACGAGGCCAAAAGAGCAAAATTCGGCTGCTGCAGACAACTTCCAAACTGGATTCCAGCCCCATACTGCTGACCAAATGCATTTTTAAATAGGAGGCCAAATCAAATCATCTCACATCCATTAGCAAGTCAACATTCCATCCTAATCCTCACCAGAACCAGCAAACGAAGCTCTTTAGAATCCGGCCGCTGCAGATGACTTCCAAACTGGATATACACTACAATATCAAAAATTGGTGCTTCCCCGCCCCCCCCAAATACACTGAAACAATTAGTCTAAAGAACCAACGAATCATCCACACAACCCTCAACTACTACAACCTTGAGCCTAGACCTCTGGCCACCACCACTGACCTCGTTAAAAGGGAACACATCAGAAGATCCTGAAGCATGTACGGTACAATCTGGAGCAAAACTCTGAAACTCATCAACAGCCAGGCTTTTTGAGAGAATAATCAAACTCCCAAGACTGTGGCTTTAAGTCACACTGTGACCCTGGAACAAAACTCTCTCTCACACACACACATGGTTCAACTTCCTGTCAAACCTCAGTCAGGCTTAAAAGGTAACCAGGAAGGCCCTCATTTTTAGAAAACCAACCATATAGGGTCAAGAGAACAGCATTTGGCCAAAGATAAGCCTAGGAGGCAGGAAGGGGCAGGCCAGAAGATCAACAGAAATGAGAAAGAGTAATGAGTTAAGAGGGAAAAGTGTGAGTACACCAAGCATTTTGTAATCAACATTATGAAACAAAAATGTTTATGAACTGCAGAATGAAAAACCAACATGCTTCATAAATTTTCAAATCCCAATCAAAATCTTGCTTTCTAAATAATCTGGTAGGCACATTTCAATATAATTCCTTTCCTTTGTAAAGCCATATTTTACATATTTAAAACAAAATAAACAGCTGTTTGAGAAATCTTTCCAGGTTTCACCAGACTGCAAAGGCGACCATGGCTGCAAATGGTTAAGAAACCGTCTCAGATGAAAAATGGAACAAAGATATAATGACTCTTTCCTTTTTTTTAGCATCAAAGTAATAACTAGTCCATAAGATAGTCTGCTAAGATTTCAAATGGCTACATTCTCAGTATTCTTGTAAGAAAACAAGCAAGGTATTTGTTCCTCTTCAATAGACAGCAGAAAACTAGCAAGAATTGGTTTCACATCATTTCGCTCACAGCAACTCTGTATATTACACACTAGACCTGCCCCACAGGGTTTTCTTCTCTGTAATCTCTATGGAAGCGACCATCAGGCTTCCCCTCTCCATGGTGCTGCTGGCTGAGCTGGAGCCACCAACCCTTAGACTTATTGTCGTTGACTATACACACTTCCTAGGAGTTGGAACCAACTTGAAAGCAATGGGTTTGGTTGGGATGTTTGTTTAGTTATTGTTATTGTTATTGTTACTGTTGTTTCTTCTCCTTTACAAATTGTGAACCCAAGCAGTGTTTAAAAAAAAAAAAAGTGAGGGTAGTTTGTTGCAAACATATCTTGCTTTCAGTAAACTAATAAGGGCTCTTTTGACACCATGGTTCATTCTACGTCAAGTGGAAGAAATAAAATGAGCTGGAGGTAAAAACATAACCTCCCTCACCCCCACTCCATTTCTCCACAAAGGGATACAGGAATCAACTAAAAGAGACCCCCATTAGCCAAAGCTACATACAAAGTACTGATTAAATAAGTAAATATATGAAGGATAGTAAATCAGGTGTTTCATTGTCAGAGAAGGTAATGATAAATATGGAAAGAAAACTAGAATGAACCCCAGGGTTGTAACAATTTGGAAAGGACAGTATAATCTGATGGTTATTCAATACAGAAAAAATGTAAATAAGTGTGTGGGAGTTTGCATATACACATGCATGGAATCCCTGGCTCTGCCTTCTGGAACAGGGATCTGGGAACAATGAGCACATCCATTATCCAGATCTTGGTTTCTAATGCTCTCTCCACGTAAGGGAAACAAGGCTGATTCTGGGGCTGGTACAGAAATGAAACGACAAGTCTGCAACATCATGCGGGCCTGGAAAGCAAGGAAGTCGTAAGGAGAGCTGAGACATGACGAAGGGCAGGGCATCGAG